TCAAATTTAACATATATTATATAATAAATTATATATAATTAAAATTAAACAACAATAAACCAAATTTAAAATTGAAATTTGCAAGTTAAATCGAAATCTTCAATAACACACAAATAAAGAAGTCAGTTTTAACATTAATCATTAGTTGGATAGGCTAAAAATAGATTAAACAATATAGAAATATTCATTATTTAAATTTATAAAAATAAACTAAAATAAATCACAAATATTATCTTCAAGATCAATGTCACCATCACAGTCACTATCATCATCAAAGCCTGGAACATTTTTGTCCCTTGAAGTAGTTAAATCTTCATTGATGTTGTTCTTACCTCATTCTGCAGGTTGCCACCATCATGAAGTTCTTTCATTTTATCTTCAATAGATTGCTCAACAAAGCTCAATATGGCAAGATGAAATGGTTCAATTGTTAAAAAATAGGTAAGCACATGATCTTATCTGATTTTATAATTTTACATTTTGAGTTTATGAGATTTTGATTTTTACTTAGTTTTTAGGCAAGTTAAATATTTAAAATTGTAAAATCACACAATTTTATCAATAAAACCACAATTTTAATAATCATAATTCATTTCATAACCATACTAGTGAAGAAACTTCTTCATACTAATAATTTAGACAATTGCTCTACAAACCTTCCTAACAAAAGATACCAAAGTTTCTTGCCAAATGAAGGTGTTATTAAATACTTAGAATGGTCCTCTTCTTCGTTTTTTTTTTTTTTTTCTTTGGTACAATACTTAATTAGAGTGGGCTTTTTTAGGGAAGACTACACTATTTTTTTTCTTCCACTCAAATTGAGCCATTGGGACAGGCCACTAAGGTCCGGTAGAGACACAAAACGACCCAACAAATCTCTACTGCAGCAAACTTAAGTCGACCAAACAACCCACCTTACACCAATCACTGGATCCCCAACCTGCTGCACTAGAAGATTATCTCAAAAAATTCACACGACTCACCAAAAGAAACAGACAAAATCCTCTCCACAAACCAACAACCACCCTACCACCACAGGCCCATACAACCACAGGACACACCCGCACAATAGATATGGCCACCTATTTGTTAAAATCACACGATATTATTAATAAAATATTAATTTTATTTTATTTAGTTATTAATTATAGTTAATAATTGATAAAATAACTATTATTTATTATTTAATAAATTAAAATTAATTTATAAATTAAAAAATTTTCAAATATCATAATTAATTATTTAAAAAATTACAAATATCAATAAAATTAAACATAATTTATATAACCTTAACAAAATATTAGATGGTCATAACACACCAGTTACAACCACATAAACATTTGTTAAAACCCCACAAATAAATTATAAATTTGTTTCATTTGACTATCAAGAACAATTAGTAATTGTAACTATACTAATTATTTATAAAACAATTAATATATATTATTTAAAAGTTTAAAATCAACCTATATATTGATATTTCTAAACACCTTAATCAATTATAAATTAATCAAATTAATCAAATCAAATAAATATGATACATATAATTAAGTACACAAAATCTCTTTTTATCTTTGAAGTGGGATTTCCACTTAAGACATCTTATTGCAAAAAATGCGCAATTGATACTTGTATATCTTCCAATGTTCGTCCTTTAATCTCCAGAACTAGCTTTGTGACGAATACAACACCCAGACAGCAGACTGCTGAGTATATGAAAAATGTACTTACATACACAAATCACTGCTGATGTTTGAGATTAAAACTATCTCTTCACCTATTGGTTTAAACATTTTAGCTGAGAATATTTAATAAGTTACTTAGCCTTTGACCTCAGTGGTCCAAGATTCAAGTTTTTGATATATTAAAATGGTGTTCAGTTTTTCATCAAAAAAAAAAAAAGAAGTTCTGTTCATAGTAAATGGGTGAGAGACATTTAAGAAATTTATATTCTTCGTAGACTTTTCTCTTTTTATTTTTTTAAGATAACATAACTATTTACATTTTTAGCTTAATTAATATTACAAATACTTATAAATTATTTTATTTTTAAATATTAAGTAAAACTCTATATTTAAAGTAACAAAATGTATCTTACTGAAATTCTTTACACTAAATTAAAAAATTAAAACCCATATACTATTATGATTTAAATGAGTCATTAACCATTCGAAATAACTATTTTATTCCTAAACTCTTATTGCCTAACTAACAACTTAAACTTTTGAGAAGAGAGAGAAAGACCTGTTTCACTCCATTCAATGGTAAAATTGAAGGTGAATGACACAATCCAAGATGTTGATCATTTGACTAGGATTCGGCCGAAACCCTTGATATTTATTGAATATTTCTAACATGGAAGCTGAATAGTTATTCATCATGTTTGTACTGATTTTCTCAAACTTTGAAACAGTATATGGTAGAGATACAAACTCTGACATCACAACCGATGCTAAACCTGCCATGCCTAGGCCATAAGCGACACTAAAACCCTGAAACAGTGCAGCACGGATTCATATTACAATATTACATCATAAAAACCTAGGCTAAATGAGGATTAACTAAAGAGATAAGTGCGATCAAGATCATCAGCTACTAAGTCCTCGTTCCTTCCAAGGGTCAAGTGGAAAGGAAACTTCTACATTGCTATCCCAGTAACTGTTGCCTCTTGCCACTGCCAAAATCAATAAAATGACTTTCCCACTAAGACTATGGAATGTAAAACAACCTTCACACCAACAGAAACAAAGCTCAAAAGCTTGTAAGGCTAGAACAGATTGGCTTTTAGTGTATTTCAAACAGAATACTACAAATAACCTGTAGTGAATAACCTGTATGCCAATGTAGACCATAATGGAAGTCAACTTGTTTTGCAGGCAAAATGCTAATCTAACAAGGAACTAAGGAAGCTACTCAAACACATTCCAGTGGTAGAAACATGGAAATATAAGAAATTTGACTACTGATTTGTATTTTCAAAATCAACCTCGTCACAAACCATTGGTTTCACATTCTTTTTTCTTTTTTTGATGAGATTAATTTCACATTCTAACCAAAAGTAGAGGATGTCTTCCACATTTATCTGCTACGAATATTGACACAGCAGTAGTTGGAATCTGCAAACCTCAGAAATGCATCAAGCAGAACAAATGCATTTGCTCAAATTTCTATCATTCAGATACCTGAATGATAGCCATTGATATAGTTACATTATTACTGGAAAAACCTGTTATAAACCAGAGATTCATGTCGTTAATGCTTATATATATAATTGAATGTTGATAAATAACTTAATATTGAAGCAAAACTAAAAGGTGTTAGCATTCCACCAGCTTCAAATATTGAGCTAGAATAGAAAGAAATGGCATTTGTGCCTCGCAATTAAGAATCATGAACATTCACAAGCGGCCTCAAAGTTCTTTAACGGGGTATTTGATATAAATGAATTCCACAAAAAAGTATGGAACTCATTTCTAATTCAATGTTGTTGTGTTTGGTATGATTAAAAACTTTTCATTTCAATTCTATGATTTCAAATCTATACTATTATTGTATTTGGAAAATGATTGATACACCTTGTAAATTAACCCATTCCGTTACATATTGATAATTTTCATTATTTGTACTATTAAAATTAATAGTTTCTATTATTTGTGTCATTAAAATTAACGATTTTTGTTATTTATGTTGTTAAAATTGACAGTTTCTATTACATACTAACAGTTACTATCAGTGTATAACAGAATATATAACTGTATAAGATGTATGTATTATTATCCTATTGTATTTAACTTGTTTAAAATTTTGTAAAATCATTTACAGCTTCACGCATGTTGTGTTTGATTTAATTGAAATTTTGTAATACTTATAACTCCAAACGTCTTATGTTTGATTTGACTAAAACAATATAAAATTCAATTCTAAACACTTAAATCATTAAATTTGTTAAGACTAATTCAACTTGATAAATTTTGATAGGAGTTGGAAAATGACTTCACATTTTTTTGATAACCCAAACTTTTAAATCACTAAAATACCCCTCAAATTAAAACTTTATACTCTCATTCACTAATGGTAAGGATATTTTTTGAAAAATTGAATTCTAAAATTTTACGAATCATTCCGAACATAAGAATTCATTTACAAATGAATTTCCAAATGAATTCTATGATGACTTCATTTTTTCAAATGAAATGAATTCCATTTTCATTTAAATCAAACAGACTAAAAAATTTTAAAACATGAGAATTGAGTTCATTTACAATTACATTTGGAAATGAAATGAATTCTAGTTCATTTGCATACCAAACACACCGTAATCGTTATACCCTAGTGCCACTCATGACTTCCTTCCCGGAACTGAATGCATACGAAATTTAAAACTGAAACATCTTGGCAATTATATCTGAGGTATTAGGTGCTGGGAAAAGAATAATAGGATTTTCTACGTTGGAGAATGCTATTGAGAACCATCCAATAATGATGCAAAATAATTCAGATAACTACATAGTCTGCTTTTGATATTTTGAATACAGAAAATAGTGGTCATAAAATCTTCTAAACACTCAGGTATCGAGATACTCTGCTTTTGATATTTTGAATACAGAAAATGGTGGTCATAAAATCTTCTAAACACTTAGGTATCGAGATACAATGGTTGCAACTAGCAGAGCTCATAACTGTTGCCGCGTCTGTATGATCCTATTGCAAAAAATGGGCAACTGATGCTTGTATTTCTTCTAACGTTCGCCCTTTAGTCTCTGGAACTAGCTTTGCGATGAATAAAACACCCAGACAGCACATGGCCGAGTATATGAAAAATGTACCTGAAAACACAAAAAATCAGTTGTGGTCTTTTGACATTAATACAGTCTCTTACACCTATTAAACTTTTGAGTAAAGAGAGACCTCCTTCGCTCCATTCAGCCATAAAATTGAAGGTGTATGAAACAAGCCAAGACATTGACCAATTGACTAAAGTTGATAGGCTTCCAGCTGAACCCTTGATATTGATCGGATATATCTGAAATGGAAGTTAAATAGATACTCATTCATCAAGTTCTAGTGATTCTCTACAACTTTGGAATGGCAAAGTTACAAACCTCTGACATCACAACCCATACTAAGCCCGCCATGCCTAAGTTGAAAGCAACACTGAAACCCTGAGATATTGCAGCGTGAATCAGTAACTTCAAATCATACCATAAAAACCTTAGCTAAATGAGGATTAACCAAGAAGAAAAAGGCACAGTTCTCTTTTCAAGGGCATTAGCTAGAGGTGGAGGAAGATCATCAGCTACTAAGTCCTTGTTCTTATAATCCTTTTCAGGTTCAAGTGACAAGTGAAAGATAAAATTCAACATTGCCATGCCAGTGACTGTCTTTGCTTCCAAAATCATTTAAAGGACTATTATTTAAGGAAATGAAATGTAAAAAACCCTTTATACCAACATAAACCAAGCTCAAAGTCATGAAATGCATGATCAAATTGTTTTTACAGTTTGAAAAAAAAAAAAAAGGAGTATGTGAAACAGAATCCTACAAATATAATGAGATGACAAGAGGTAAATTGTCATTCAATTGCGGTGAATAACCTGTATGCCAATGTAGACCAGAATGGAAGTAGACGAGTTTTGCAGCAAAAATGCTAATCCAACAAGGAAGGTACTCAAGCACATTCCAGCAGTAGAAACCTGGAAATATACAGATATTTGAATATTGATTTGTATTTGATAAATCAACATCATCACAAAAAATTAATTTCATAGTCTAACCAAAAGCAGTGGGCGTCTTCCCCATTTATCTGCTAAGAGTACTGACACAGCAATAGCTGGAATCTGCAAAATGAATTTGCAAACCTCAGAAATGTATAAAGCAGAATGCACGCATTTACTCAAATTTGAGTTTCTATCACTCAAATACAAATACGTGAATGATAGCCATTGAAATAGTTCCAATATCACTTGAAAAACCTGTCATAAACCAGAGATTCATGTCATTGTTTGTTTATATCTTCGAATGTTCATAACTAAATTTGTATTGAAAGTGTTGTTTAAAGTAATATAGTTCCAATATTACTTAATGCAATACTTAAAGGTGTTAGCATACCAGCTTCTTCAAATATAGAGCTGGCATAGTAAGCAATGGCGTTGGTCCCTCCCATTTGTTGGAAAACCATCAGCCCTACTCCTACCTAAACCAACAAAGGTATCCTTAGAATGATAAATTATTGAAAACTTGTAATCAAATATATCGCCATTAATTATTTCTTCCGATTTGGACTCACACAAAGTGAATCAGCATATCTTCTCTGGAACAAGTCCAGAAATCTATATTCTGAAGTCCCCTGAAATGTTTCCGTGTAATCCTGTAAAAGTATGAAAAGTCCATCTCATTTATTGTTTCTAAAGAAACAAAATTAGAAGTTCAGAATATAAACATCTCAATTTAGTAAGTCTTTTATTAAAAGTTGAAAATTTACTCTGATATCTGCTGCTTCTTGGGAAATATCAACATTCTTTCCCCTTAGACGCTGTAGAGTAGCTTCTAGCTCCTTCTCTCGACCAATCTTAGCCTGCAGAAAATTGTTACCATCAGATTATAAGGTTTTAGCATGTTCGTGGCTAAGATACAGAAATTCATAAAGAAAGACAACCGATGATTACTTTATTTTGTATTACAAAGCCAACTTAACCGCCCATTGTCTACAATATTAACAACAATTGGAATTAAAATTACCAGCCATCTAGGTGATTCTGGAATAAAGAATAATGCAAAAACTTGGATTATGCATGGAACAGCAGCTGAAAATTTGTTTCAAAGAGACCTTGGGAGTTAGAGATATATTGTTGATCCCCATCTATCAAGTTAAGCTTTTAAGGTTGAGATGAAGCTACCAATTATGGCTAAGGTGCGCCAAGAAACAACAGTTCCAAGCAAAAACATCAGTGATATGCCAGAACATATCATGAACTGCAAACTCAATGAATTAGGAGATTATAGGCAATGAATTGACTTAATCATTTCAGTCTCTACTTGCATAATTCTTTAATAATTCTACCTGATTTGCAGTTGTAAAACTTCCTCTGATATTCTTAGGTGTTATTTCTGCTATATACACTGGTACCTGTCTTGGAACAAAATATCAAGTACCATCATATATTATATATGTCTGTTCATCAAC